ATTGTTTAAATAATATTTTATTTGTTTATTTATTAATTTTGTAAGTATCAGTATGTACAAGTTAGAGTAGAAGTGACACTCTATTGCTGTAAGTTAAAAATTATTAACTACTTTAAATGTTTAAATTGTTTAGGTGAGAGCACTTAAAGTTCAGGATGCCCGAATGTTATCAACAATGTGATATGAATGTCATGGTAGAAGGACAGTCAGTCTACATTGTGCGAACGACTCTGGTGGTTTATTGTTTGACACTGTGTCGCCTGTGATATATTTTTATGAGTAATTAGTTTGTTAATAAATATCTTTTAAATCGAACTTATGAGTTACTTTTATTATAACACATTAAACATATCTGTAAACTTTTTTTTACCATTGAGTTGTTTAATATTTCTTTGACCAATTAAATGTAAACTATTGAACATGTTGTAACTTATAAGCAACTTAATACAAAATACAAATAATAAATAATATCACTTTCCAGATTTTTCCAATCGATGTGCGCAAAAAATTATGTTTTCGTTATCGCCTATGGTTGATRTCACACCTTAATTTTAATTAATCATTTTGGTAACTAATATCGCTACTGATTTGGCAACAACTCGTATCTGACATTTTTTTCAAAATTGACGTTTTGGTATCATTGGATTCGTATTTTCAAGGAGAATATAATTTAATTGAGGTTAGTTTAACGTACTATCGTTTATTTCCCGCTAAAACTTGTTTGAGTGATACCACGTATCAAATATTTGATTTTAAAACCACGTAACTGCAAATCAGATATTATGTTAAAATAACAGTACAATACTGCCATTATAGGCATTAATGCCTTTTTAAACATTAATCTGTCGACTGAATTTTAAGTTAATAGGTAAGTACTATATTAATTGTATGTTTTATTTTCGAAATGATAGATTTCATAATAAAATAGTGTACACTGCATGACATTCTATTTATTGTTGTTTTATGTACAATGCACCTAGATCAATATGACGTCGAAGAAACGAGYACATGCAATGGTCAATTTAGTTAAAAATCCTAGTCAACCTGCACAATATAATAAAGTATTTGAAGATAATCCCCSTGTGAAAAGTGACGAGTTTATGACATCTTTTATTAAAGATAATGACATCAAAAATACTACAGTTAAAGGTAAAAATATTATTTTATTATCTTCCCTCATAAAGTTTATACATTTTAGCATAATATTATATAGTTTAATTGAAGACAGAATACCTATTAATAATTTCTTTTTTTAGTTTCCTGTTTTAATGTAGACATTGAAGGATTTGAAACGTTTRACATTTTACAAAATGATACAGATAAAAGTAAAAATATTATTGTATTACATACTCTGATATTATTTATACATTTTAGCATTATATAGAAATTAATTGAGGGCATTTTATTTTTATTTTTAGTTTCTTGTTTGGATATAGACATTGATGCTATTGAAACGTTTGAAATTG